GGGGTGTGCTCCGTGATGAGGAAGCTCGGCTTGGAGACACATCCCGGAGGCGTTTCTGGCCCCCACCTGTCGTTTTGCTCCTCAGCATGGCTGCCTAAAAACGCTGCAGGATTTCTCAAACATGCATGAATGAGTCAAAGCAAGGCTTTGGGGATGTTTTATATGAGAGTATAACATTATAACAGGATATAAAACTCAAAAAAGTTGATTTTACATGATATTGCCCCTTGAAAAACGCCTGCCACATCCTCACTCGTTGTCGACCGACGTTCGGCTGAGGTCTCCAGCTTCGCCTCAGTTCATCAACAGTCAGGATCTGTGCTCGGAGCAGGGAGGGGGGGGGGGGGGGGCACAGGAACAAGTCACAGGACTCTCAGCGAGCTAAAGTTCAGCACCCATGACTGCACGATAGGATGCTTCTTCTCAGCTCTGCGGCAAAAAAAAAAACGCTTCTCCTACATTTTCTTGGTTGCCAAGGTAACGCATCCCGCAGCAGTCACGTCTTCAGCAACAACAAAAAAAGGAAGAAAAAACAACTTTTAGCTTCAGCTAGATAGTTTTTCACTAAACACGCCTTGTTTTTTTTAACTAATTAAACGTAATTCTACAAAGGATTCATTCAAATTAGGTTCCTGAATATTTTCACACAGATTAGAGGAAACATGAGTCGTTTTAGGGATAGAATGATTTGAAAAATGACGTTTGGCTTCGCCAGAGGTTTTTTTCAGCTGATTCAACACGTTAAATAAGAATCAGGTTGTTCAGCAAGGTGKGCTGACCTGTGAATGAATCCTGTTAGTGTCACGTTAGCAGGGAGACTTTTAAACACTAAATAAAACGTGTCTGTATGTAAAACATAACATGTTAGTCTCCATTGAAACAGCTGTTTTAGTCAGTTTGTACAAAATATTCAATAAATAACATTTGTTCATGTTTATTTTAGACTCTTACTCTACTCTACTCTGCTCTAGACGTTATGACTTCCATGCTGTAAAGTTAGCAGTTTTATGTTTTTTTATGTTTAGATGTAATTTATCTTTTCATAGATAATGGTGACATAATGGAGGCCTCCTGATGCTAAAATACATCTCAGGAAATATTTTGAGCGTCTCCAGTGGTTCCCAAAGTTGGAGTTGGGACCCACAGTGGGGTCCTAAAACATCAAGATGGGGTCCTGAAAATACTTTTTATTCATTTTTATGAATTTGTCTCGGTCTGAATTCGTTTTAAACTGTCATGGGGACAAAGTCGAGTCCATGGCTGCTAACAGTGGCAAACGAGGCAGGTTTTAATGTCTATAAAAGCCAAAGGAGACTAAAACGCCTGAGCTGGTCAAGCTAGCTGATAATAAAAGGACGCTTTGTACGCCCGGTTAGGTTTTTGTTGGGCTTAGCAGCAGCAGACGAACGATGCACGTCCTTTTTTTTAAGCTGCTAAAAACACTTCATGATGTTAGACAGGTAGTCTGTCTGCCTCGTTTTCCAGTGAGGTAATGTTTGAGGACCGGTGCAGAGCAATGAGTCAAGTTCTGTTCTCCCCACCTCGTTCCATTTTCCTCTCAACGCCTCTTGTTTTAAGCAACAGTATTCCAAGTAAACTGTCGTAAGWGTTGTAACCTGTAACAGGGAAACACATCGTCACGACTGGAAATCTAGTGTACTCRGGTGACGAAACGGATCTCAGCACGACGCCTGCGTGCGTAAACATGCCCGTTTTCAGCATTTTTACTGGGGTAGATAATGTTAACAGCTACAGACACGGATAGATTTCATGGTCTTAAAGATTCTGGTGCTAAATCACATTACCCAAGAAGTATTTGTGCCAAAGATTTTATTCCGCTTACGAGTCCCCTCAAAGCATGTTATTGTGTAAAAGAAAGCTGAAATTATCTTATCAGTTTCATTTATATACATGTAAATGAAAAATATTTAAATCGGATCAAATCATACACAATAATAAATGTAATTTATACAAATAATATATAAGGGTAGGATAAAATAACTTTTGCTAATATTATATTCTCCTAAACTGTCAAGTATGATTTACCACAAAAAAAGGAGCCCCTGTTAGCATCCCAGATTGTTAAAACTGGAAGGAAGGTTATGCTTTATCTGATCTGTGTCACAGGAAATCAAACTGGTGCAGCCCTAAACGCAAAAAGGCTCTTTGTCATCAAAATGCATATGTTTTGTGACTAAAGTACCATTCTGCAGCCCCAGAGCATACATTAAAGATAAGTTGTATTTATGTTCCAGACTCCTGGGAAAAACTTTGAACCTACTCTGGGTTTGTTTTGCGGTTAAAGCTACTCTCTGCAATGTCGTGAAGATAAGTCAAGAAAATAATCATTAAATGGAAAACAGCAGATTTTGTTTCATATTGATGATAAATATGTCCTTAGATTAAACATTTGGAAGCAAAATTTGCTAACGGCTGCCAAGTTTGTTTGTTTACCAACAGAAACAGCCGAAGTGACTGAAAAAAAATGTTTTTTAATGCGTTGGTATATTTTTATACTCAAATTCGTTGAGTAGAATGTGCAGATAAAGGTGTTTTTTTTACACTGAGTGCCTACCTGCATTTCAGAATCTGGAAAACAACAATAAAACTATTTCAAATTGCACCATTTGATATAGTTCAGGGTAACATTTTTTTCTTATTTTAAAACCAGTGGTTTATTAATGTCCTGATGCATCTCAGTAATCCAGGTAAAAATCAAAAAGAAAAATATAGTATAGGTCTCCTGGACGGGTTCTTCTCTAAGGAAACGTTTCGTCTCTCTTCCAAGAGACTTCTTCAGTCTGAGAGTTTCAGGCAAAATTCAGGTTTTTAAGCCCTGCCTCCATGTGACTGATACTCACATCACATGGCTATCGTTGACACCTAATTAACACCTTTTGTTAACAGGGGGTGGAGTGATACTGGCAATAGCAGCACTGTAGGTGGGGACAACTGAAAACAGAGGCCTCCACCTCTGTTTAATGATGGACGGTCTTTCTTCATAAAAATGGCTTCTTTTACTCCTCTCTCAAACCA